CATGTTCTCCCGGCGCCTATTTATACTATAATCGCACCAGTAGTGATGTCATGGGCTGTCGCCGGCCAACGTGTTTTTGGTGTTTTTTCAATGTATGCTTCAGACACGTGTCACGACGAGGCATCCCCATAGCGACCCTTAGAGGACACAGTGTCTCGTTCCCTACTCAGGGAACCATGGTTACATAAGTAACCTGAGACGATCTTCCAGAATGTGCCTCCTTTTCATTCACTGTCATCATGAGTAGAAAGAGGAAAGAACCTTCCACCTGCTTTTCCTTACTGTTTTGTTCTCCATCTCCTTTTAACAGTCATAATAATTTTGTGGCCATAATTGACCTGCCAGAAGGCGAGCACCAGTATAAGTTCTATGTGGACGGACACTGGATATTAGATCCCAAAGAGGTGGGAAAGAGTTTCTTATAGTGTTTGATTATCTGATAATCCTCTGTTCTTGCATTATGTTTAATTAATTCTATTTTCTTCTAGCCTGTTGTGACTAATAAGTCAGGTGTGATGAATAATGTCATTAAAGTGAGGAAAACAGACTTTGAGGTTTTTGATGCACTGAAGACAGACTCTGAGAAATGTGCCGACATGTCAGGTAAGTATAAATCTATTCACTGTTAAGCAATTGAAATATGCTACAGGTTCTGATCTTCTGCTTTCTTCTGTCAGACTTATCCAGCTCCCCACCTGGACCATACCATCAAGATCCCTACTCAACCAAATCAGAAGACAGACTGCGCTCTCCTCCCATACTCCCACCACACCTGCTGCAGGTGCTCCTCAACAAAGACACTGGAATCTCTGTAAGTACTGCTCTGCTACATCCTGAACATAAACTTGATCACCCAATGACAGCAGCTGCTCACCGTTTTTTTTTTAAAGAAGTTTCTTATGCTCACCAAGGCTGCACTTATTTGATCAAAAATACAGAAAAAAACAGCAATATTGTGAAATATTATTACAATTTAAAATAACTGTTTTCTGTTTTAATATACTTTAAAATAAAATGTATTCCTGTGATGCAAAGCTGAATTTTCATCAGACATTACTCCAGTCTTCAGTGTCACATGATCCTTCAGAAATCATTCTAATATGCTGATTTATTATCAATGCTGGAAACTGCTGTGCTGCTTTATATTTTTGGAACCTGTGACACTTTTCAGGATTCTTTGATGTATGGAAAGTTAAAAGGAACAGAATTTTTTCAAAATAGAAATCTTTTCTAACAATATAAATCTTTACAATCACTTTTTATTAATTTAACATCCTTTCTGAATAAATATATTAATTTATATCAATAAAAAGAAATGAAAAAATACTGACCCCAAACTTTTGAAAGGTTAATTAAATAAATGCTGTTCTTTTTTATTTTTTATTTATCAAACAATCCTGAAAAAAGTATCACAGGTTCCAAAAAAAAACAAATAATAAAATTTTTTTTAAAAAAAATATATATATATGGCTGATGAAAATTCAGTTTTGGATCACAGAAAAAAAGTAAAGTATATTATAATAGAAAAACATTATTTTATATTGCAATAATATTTCACAATATAACTTTTTTCAAATAAATTTAGTTTTTTCTTAAGCACAAAATCGCATGGCAAAGCATATGGCAAAATTACTAAAACTTGAACAAAAATGTTAAAGTTTTAGTAATTTTAGAAAATTAATCTTAAAAGTGCATTCATAATATTAAATAAATAATGTAATAGTATTTAAAAGAAATAGAAAATTAACAATGGTGTATATTTTTGTTGTTTTGGTTATTTATTTAACTAGCTAACTTTCTGGAACATTAAACTATTTCCATTACTTAAACACTTCATTTGGGTTTTCTTACACACATGAAATCTGATGGAAAGCGAGCAAGTGATTTGAGAGGAGGTCGATTCTTTGTAAATACAGTGTTGCAGTTAAAGCAATTCCTTTTTGGGCTTAAAGAGATAAGAAAAGATAAAGTGCCTATAGTTGGAAAGTGCTGAGTGTGGCAATTTTAGAAAGCAGAGACTTTCCCTAACTTGTTCCCATGTCTGCTTTTAACAGTGTGACCCAACCCTGCTGCCTGAACCAAACCATGTGATGCTCAACCACCTGTACGCCCTTTCCATCAAGGTCTGGCAGCAAACTCCACACACACTTTAGAAGAGACTCATAGAAGAAATTATCTAAAAATGTCCACACCCTCAGTGATAGTTCACCCAAAAATGAACCTTTTGTTATTTAATAACGCTAATTTCAGTCAAAATCTGTGTGACGTTTTTTTTTTCTTCAGTGCAACACAAAAGCACCATAAAAGTATCATTACTTTTGTAGATACGAGTGAGTAATGAGTTATTGAGTAAATGAGTTATTATTTTCAGGTGAACTATCCCTTTAATCATTTTTAGACCCAGCTATGGAGTTTTTGCCTCTGTAGTGGACATTATATTT